TAAGTCTTAACACTGACCTTCAAGCTGTTGCTGTCGTCGTCGACCTTGGGTCGCTGAGGCTGACTGTCTGTTCTATCTGCCTCCCTCCTGCTGAGGAAGTACCGGATTCGACACTACAGTCCATCTTCGATCAGCTTCCATCGCCGTTCTTGTTGCTAGGTGACTTCAACTCCCATAGCCCTTTGTGGGGCTGCAGTCACACAAGCCGCCGAGGCCGACATCTTGAGCGTTTGCTGAATACAAATAATCTTTGTGTTGTTAACACCGGCCGGCATACCCATATATCTCTGCCGTCCAGCACTACTTCAGCGATAGATCTTTCTATCTGCTCCTCGTCTTTTTTCTGTCGGTTGTTTTGGTTCGTTGAGAGCACTACATATGGGAGCGACCATTTCCCAATATGGCTTGGGATGAATGTTGAACACCCAGGCAGGAGGCCTTCCTGCTGGAACCTTCGACGTGCTAACTGGCAAAAGTTTACCGACGAGTGCCATATTAGAGTGCAGCCGACCGAGGACGACAATGCAACGTCTCTTGCACAACAAGTGACATCCACAATTACCGACACTGCAAGGTCTTGCATTCCCTTGACATCACCTGAGCCGCGCAGGATCCCTGTTCCCTGGTGGTCAGAGGACTGCAAGGCGGCAATTCTTGAGCGGAAGCGGGCGTTCAAGGTATTTAAGCGTTCTGCAACGACCAACAACCTCATGGGTTTTAAAAAGGCCAGAGCATTGGCGAAACGCACAATACGTGAGGCAAGGCGTACATCATGGAGGGAATATGTAAATGGTTTAAATCGTCACACCCCACTGAGTGCAGTGTGGCAGCGAGTTAGTCGCATTTCCAGTAGGAGCGTCTCCACTGCAGTTCCGGTGTTGAGAGTGGCAGGAATCACGATATTGAACACACAGGAAGTTTCCAACAATATAGGTCTCGCATTTGCAGAAAGGTGCCGACATGGAACAGACGACCCACGCTTTATTCGTTACGAGGAACAAAGTGAGAAGACGGCGATCAATTTTAGAATTCCTGACTCGGAGATCTATGAGTACAACCAACCGTTCACTGTCATGAAGCTCTGCACTGCTCTTAAGAGAGCTAAGAGTGTGTCGCCTGGATTGGATTAAGTCCACAATGATATGTTGGATCACCTAAAGAAGGAGTCCCTCCATGCTTTACTTTTCAACTACATATGGTTGCAGGATGACTTCCCAGAGCCGTGGCGGGAGGCCATTATAGTCCCGATACAGAAGCCCGGAAAGGATAGTTCCGACCCACTGCACTACCGCCCAATTTCGCTGACTTCATCCCTATGCAAAGTGCTAGAGAGGATGGTGAATGATCGTCTCATGTGGTACCTTGAAACCCACGATTGTCTTTCCAAAGTGCAATGCGGGTTTCGGAAGAACCTATGCACTGTTGACCACCTAACGATCTTAGACACAGCTATACGACATCCTTTTAAACAAAGACGTCACACGATAGCAGTCTTCTTTGCCATTGAGCGGGCTTATGATACCACCTGGCGCTACGGCATTCTTAGCAAAGTACACAAGTGTGGACTCCGAGGTCACATGGCACTCTTCATTGAAAACTTTTTACGTCGTCGATTCTTCCGTGTCCGAGTGGGTGGCATGCTATCTGATCGCTATGAACAAGAGAACGGTGTTCCTCAAGGGAGCGTGCTTAGCGTAACCCTGTTTGCGCCGATGATCGATGATATCGCCGACTGTCTGCCACCTACCATCAGTCGGTCACTGTTTGTGGACGACTTTGCCATCTGGTGTGCGGCATCCGCAACGACGTCTGCTGAGAGGCAGCTTCAGTTATGCCTGATTCGACTAACTGAGTGGAGCCTTAAGAATGGCTTCAAATTTTCGACCACCAAGACTAAGTGCATGCACTTCTGCTCACGGATTCGAGGCTGTAGAGACCCGGGGTTGCGACTGTATAATGCCACTATCCCAGTTTGTAACGACATTTGTTTCCTGGGCCTCACGTTTGACCGTCGGCTCACGTTTAAGCAACACTTTAAGATGGTTAAGACTAAGTGTCTCAAGCGCATGAACCTCATAAAAGTAATGTGTCGTATGACGTTTGGAGCCGATAGAAGCACCCTGTTGAACCTTTATAGGGCTCTAATTCGATCAGTCATCGATTATGCTAGTCCTGTCTACGATAGTGCTCCTACATCTTCAAAGCAGGTTTTGGACACAATCCACCATACATGTGTTCGTATAGCCACTGGGGCGTTTCGTACGACCCGAACAAGAAACTTGCTGGTGGAAGCGAATGAACCGACCTTGCCTCTTAGGAGACAACGACTTACTTTGAATTACGCTACAAAGGTTTCACAATTTCCGGATCACCCAGCCTTTAAGTTCATCTTCTCTCAGACGTTGATTCGTTCTTTCTTGAGGGGGCGGCCCACGTCAGCGCGGCCGATGTGCCTGCGCGTCCGGGACTGCCTGGACGAGGCGGATATTACGCTGGATGACATTGCCCCGCACACTCTTCGGGACCCAGCTCCGTGGAGACGTCTGAGTATTAAGTATGATTTGGAACTCTGTCAGCATCTTAAAAATGGCACTTCACCACGAGAGTTCCTCACGTATTCGTTGGAACAGATCTCACAATACGTGAACTCATTACAAATGTTTACCGATGGGTCCAAGGGCTCAACAGGAACGGGTTGCGCATTTGTTTGCGGTGACCGTACCGTAGGTCTATGCCTCCCGCAGCACATGTCAGTTTTTTCCTCAGAATTGTTTGCCATTTTAGCAGCGCTTCAGTACGTTGCTTGTCGTCCTGAAAGGGATATAGTCATTTTGACCGACTCGCGTAGTGCACTTTTATCATTAGACCCGACGGCGATGTCGCGTGACCACTCATTTTTGACTCGCTCAATTTGGGAGGAATTGGAATGGCTGGACAGCACTTCCTGTCGTATCACATTTATGTGGATCCCCAGCCACATAGGAATAATGGGGAATGAAAAAGCCGACGCCGCAGCGAAAGCTGCGGCGTGTGAGAGAAGCCCAATACCAATTTATGTACCCGCTCGAGATCTGAAGTCAGTCATTTCCAAATACGTCCGCAATGCGTGGCAGCACATGTTCGACCAACACCTCCACGCTTTCAGGGAAATCAAGCCCCAACTGGGTGATTGGGAATCCTCCCATCGCTGAAGCCGCTTCCAGGAAGTCGCCCTTTGTAGGCTTCGGTTGGGTCATGCATACGCCACACACTCGTTTTACTTGACGCGTAGGGATGTGCCACGGTGTGATAGATGCGGGGACCGGTTGTCTGTTGAACATGTGCTCGTCTCATGTCGGCGCCTTGAGACGGAGAGGCGACGATTTTTTCCTCCAGCGCCCCTTCATCGGTTACTCGGTCGAGACCCATGTGGTGAACTTGGAGATATACTCGCATTTTTAGCACACATTGACTTTGACGTTATTTTCACTCACCCCTCAGTGTAAGTGCGCCAGTGATGCTACCTGTTATCAGTTGACAACATACTTATCGCGTCGTCGCAGAGGTAGATAAACGTCATCGAGTGGGCGCAAAATGGCCCCGATGCCGACGCGCCCTTAAAACCCAAATCACCACCACCACCGGATGCACTGGACAACTTACGTAAGCTTGAACCTTTTTCGAAATGAGTAGCAGAAGTGAATTCAAACCTGCCTGCCGATGATCCTACTCAATTTTCAGGTTTCTTTTTGAAGCAGCGAGCCACAGCTTTACAGGACACCAGCATTAAGGGAATTATACAAGGAGCAAATACCAGTCGTCAAATAGCCCCACCAATCTGGGTTTACCTTGTTTGTCCTTATTTGATGAGACGGTCTCGATCTAGGTATCTTACACTGGGTACAAAGGAATTCCTGTAAATGGCGCCTCCAGCTCTCTTAATTTTCACTTTTCCGGGGGTCCAATTTTACCCCCTTCCCTCGCTCCTACCATCCGAGTACATCATATTCAGCTGGCTAGCCGGATGCGTGCTTAAAGTGTTACGTGTGGACGTGGACCGTCCTGGGCCGTCTTCAACAAGATGACGTGGTCCGGCCAGTGGATGCAGGTCAAAATATGCTCCAACGAATTTCCTGGTTGCAAATCATTTGCGGCAGCAAACAGCCATTACGATCTAAAAATACCGCAGCACCAGACGTTCATCTTCAAGGAAACCGACGGCAACTGGTAATTAACAATCAATCACACGGGTCTCCATTAATCCATAAGGGTCACTGACACCAGACAAGTAGGTATTATATGAATCGTTGTGCTAGCCGGCCCGTCAGGTGGTGGGATCCAGTGCCTCTCTGAAGCACAGCGTCATGGCCCGCTATCCGGCTCGCCCCTCGCCCGCCCCGCCCCCCCCCCCCCCCCGCCCGACAACGGACAGGTTAATTGCTAAGTAACCGGGGCCATACAAGACGCAACTTGGTGATGGAAAAGTGCGTAACTCTGCTTGACATAAAACTAGATCCGTATAAAATTAATGGCATGCCAAATGGAGTTGCGAGTTTCGGTGGATAAGTACCTTCGCTCTCTTGTCCTTGCCTGTCATGAATGGCCACCTTTTTGGACTTTGGGATCCAGTTCTCGTCATTCCAATATGTCACTCTTTTCACTGTGAAACAGGGAGGGACATTGGTAAAGAAGGCATACATATGAATTCGCTATCGGAACTAGCCATGGAGAATCCTGTGAAGTCCGACACGAGGGCATCCGATTATGTCTGATTTTGGGCAGGACGTCTCACTCTCCCACTTGGGGTGGAACGTGTGTTCGCCCACACAATTTGCATGGAAATGGGTGTGTTGCAGGTCCATCCACCGTTTATCCCCAAAACAGTCCGATTACAGGGGCCTGCGTGTCTGCAGGTATTCCGGGAATCATGGTCCCTTCGGCGTAATTAAGGCGTTATCAAAGCCTACGCATGACTCGCCCGTTCTGCTGCCGTATCGCTTCGCGACGTCTCCTCTCAGTAGTGCGTTTCTTTGCGTTTGTATTGATACTTCCTACTGCGGATTGAGCGCGATACATCGAGCACATGAAACTGAAAGGCAGAGAGCAAGTTCCGGACTGCCGCACCAGGCAGGCAAATAGCATGTCACAATCAGCTGGGCGGCAGGAACGGAGGCATCGAAGTGACGGGCTGGAGTGGCAACGGTGAAAAACAGACGTGAACTAAACACAGCCACTCATATCGCCTTCAACTCCTGTGCATCGCGCCATTCTAGAGTTGGTAGAAGTCACCTTGCATTGGTGGGGCAAGAAGCTCTGTGCACCTTACGCGGCGGCGTCACCAGCTCACTGGAGCTTTTCCACCTTGCACATGATAGGGTGCGCGCCGATAAACAGCGTCGCCCCCGTGTAATATTTCAGTTTCGTCTCGGGCGTGGCCGTGAGGCGGTAGCGCTGCAGCAGGTAGGCCAGCAAGAACTTGCACTCCATCATGCCCAGCCGGCTGCCGATGCAGGCGCGCGGTCCCAGGCCGAACGGCATCCAGCTGTACTGGCCGAGCTGGCGGCCCTGCTCGCCCAGCCAGCGGTTGGGCAGGAAGCGCTCCGGCTCCGGGAACACCTCCGGGTCGCGGTGGTACGGCCACAGCGGCAGGATGACAGTCGTGCCCTTGGGGATGCGCAGGCCATCGTACTCCCAGTCGCGCGTGCAGAGTCGGAAGTGGCGCGAGATGAGCGGCGAAAGGCGCAGCGACTCCTGTATCGCGGCCTCCGTCACCGGCAGCCGCTGCAGCGCCTCGTACGTCAGCTCCACGCCGGCTGCCTCTTCGGCGATGCGGGCGGCGACGTCCGGGTTCTTGGCGAGGAAGTAGGAGGTGATGGTGAGCGTAGTGCCAATGGTGTCGTAGGCGGCCATCAGCATCTCGGCGCCCTGCAGCATGACGAGTTCTTCGGTGATGTTGAGCCTGCGACACTCGGGCATCGGCACCTTCTTGTCGATGGCGTCCATCAGTGCGCCAATCAGGTCTGGGCGCTCGACGCCTTCGGCGCGCCGTTGCTTGATGGAGCTGCGCACCAGGTTCAGGAAGTACTTGAATGCGGGAACCAGCTCCCTGCCCATCATGTAGTTGGCGATGCTGGGGAACGAGGTCATCAGCGTTGTCATCCACGTGTCTGGGGTGTCTCCCTGGGCGCTGAAAGCCGATGCGTACTTGACGAACGTGCTACTTGTGTCTGCGACGTTGGGCACCTTGATGCCAAAGGAGAACTGGGCCATGATGTCCAGCGTCAGCGGGCCGAACAGGTCCTCTCGCATCGACAGCACTGGGGTGTGACGCATCTTCGCTTCCATTCTGTGGAATGCCTGCTGAGCGCACTCAACCATTGTGGGCATCATGGCCTTGAGCTTGACACCGGAGGCCAGCGCAGGAGCGAGCATGGACCTGAGCATCTTCCACTGCTCTCCCGGCTTCATGTCAAGCATGTCACGGCCGTACGGAATGTCGAACAGGATCGGCCGGTCGGGGAAGTGGTCAAAGTCTTTGATTAAGATCCGCTTGGCCAGCTCCGCGTCAGCCACAAACACCTGCGGCCACGGGCCTTCGTACACGCCCCAGACCTTGCCAAAGCGCTTGGCATTGCGCATGTCCTCCTGGTCGGTGGAGGTGCGGGCAGGGTACCGCACGCTGCCCACGAACGGGTACGGCTTGACGACGGGGATGCCGAGCTTCTCCAGCGTGCCGTAGTTGCGTGTACCATACTTGTACAGCAGAACCAGCAGCAGAACGACCAGCAGCACGGGCAGCAGCACGAGCTCCATGACTGCCGTCGCCTCCGCCCCGGAGAGCGCAGTCTGACCCGCTACCGACGGCGTCCGACGCCGGACGCGGACTGCCGGGCGGCGCGCGGGCGCGTTGGGACCGCCGCTCGCCACAAGGTCAAACGCATCAGGAACACTCAACAGTCCGACTTGTTGCATCGCTCATGGGCTGGCGGTTAGGAGCCGGGGTTCCTTACAGAGAGTGGTGCGTGGTCGCTCCACAAGACCCAGCGGCTGGTTTACGGTGTGTGTTGCGCCGCCTGTTTGCGGTGCACTCATGAGTGCCGGGTTAGTGAGCGATTTGCTGAATATCACTGTATCATGATGTTACTGGCGTACCCCTGAGGCCGCCCCTGCTCGCGCCGCCAGTGCTGCTGCACTTTGGTACGCCGCGGCCCCGAATGGCGGTGTACTGCCTGGGGCGCCACCCGCCGGAGTCAGCGCCGCCCGCTCGCTTCGCGGGATAATACAGTTGCCGTTTAGCAGCGCTCGTGTCTGGTCTGGGCAGACAACACGTAGACTTGAATAATCACAAAGTGCTTCGTGTTGTAAGCTCTCCGACTTGAAGGCTGAAATATTTTTTTGCACGTGGTTGACTTTAATGTGGGCGCTACGAGGGCCGCGCACACCAGTGTCCGGCCGTGTACCGGTGCTGCAGTGCAGTTCGCTCCCGTTCCGCAGCAAGCTCCTTAATCGAACCCCGGGCCACGAGAGCATCAAACTTTGCTATTAAATAGGCAGAAGGTTTCATCTGCATGGCACTCATGACGAAACAATAATGGCAGACAATATGCACTCTATTCACAGTCTGTGGACAATTCCTTGCGGGGCCGGATTTACAGAAAACGAGAAAATGGAGTTCTCCAACGGAGAGCTTGCTTCGCCCCGGCACTCTCCGTCGGAGGAAAGCGACGGAGCTGCGGATTGCACTTGTGTTTAAAATGATCGTGGGTAAGCAATGTATGTCCGCAATAAATAAGCTGAGGTTCATACAAATCGACCAGACAAAATGCCATCGGCTGTCCACAAAACTCCGAACGTCTATCCAGGTCCGTCCAATTGCCAAATAAGAATGCTGATGCTCTGGAGTTCTTACGATTTAGAATCCAATCGGCACCTCTTGTGCAAACACGGGGCTGCCAGCGTCACTGTTACATCGTCTCACTGCGTTCGCTTCCGCCTCCACCCATTGCTGTTCCCGCCCGATCCAGGGTCTGTTTGGACGGCCGCCGCTCAGCGGAGCCGGCGCGCGTGATTGGCTCTTGGCCATGGCCCGTCATACCGATCAATGAAGAGATTCTACCAGTCACCAGCGACGAGGCCGACCAATGAAAAGATTCGGTCAGTCACCAGCGACGAGACGAGGCCGAGAAGACCGTGACGGGGAGGCCCCCCCCCCCCCCCCCCCCGTTGGAGCGAGCCGGGCCACCGCCGCCAGCCCCGTCCCTGCTGGCGGCGAGGTCCCAGATGCGTCGTGAGGTTGCCTGCGTATTGGGCCTCCGACGCACGGGTAGGTGCGTGGCCGTACAGCCGATACGTTCTAAAGCCCCGGCGCACGGGTAGGTGCGTGGCCGTACAGTCGATGCGCCCTAAAGCCCCGGCGCACGGGCACGGTGCTGTTGATAAATTGTTTACTCTATGGGCTCAGGATCAGGTGCGGCTCTCGAGGTGCCGTCACGTGTGACCGAGCGCGCTCGGGAGAAGTGGGCAGGCACGCGCCTCTGTTCATCCTGACCTTGAAACCGCGGAAGCAACAGTCATAATGTTGCGTCATGAGGGCTTTCAGAACTCGGATTCCATCCCGCACCATCATATGTGAACACTTAGCACGGAGCTCAGGTTGGGACGTGGAAAGAAACTGATCACAAGCCCCGTGGTGCTGCAATTATGGAAAGCTTTTCCAGCTTGTGCCCGAGTCATGTTGTGCAGTCTAAACATCAGATGAGTGGGTCGGTAAATGCTGTTCCCGGTGACATGCGAGATATCCACCCCTTTCATGTGTAGGGTTAGCTCTCGCCATTCAACCACGTTCGAGCTCAAACTGCTAATTGGAGCAGAGTTGGGGAGTTTGATACCTAGTCAGTCAATGCATGTCGCGTTGCGCCAACGGAAAGTCTTCCAGGTCACGCCCCAGTGTGTGTTTACCAACATCATCAAGTAATGGCACCCATCCCCGGCAAAAACTGCGGCATTAATGAAAACACCAAATGATCTTCCAGTGCCGGCCGGGCGGTAGTAAATCTGCTGCGACGAACCGTTGTATGATGAGTGTTCACATGTCGGAGGCTCGGAACAGCCTGGCCCGGCATCTCGGCACCAACGACGCCCCGCGGGCACGCAGGCTGACAGGCTCAACACCACGATCCACGTCCTGCATAGGTGTATTCAAAACAAGCCGTGGACTAGTGCATTCCACCACAAATCACTACCCTCATTCGTGATCACATTCAATAAAGCACATGGACGAGGGACACCAGAGCGCCCAAAACCAGCACCACTTGACTAGCTTAGGAGAGAGGACAAGCCTTATCAAATCAGCCGGGAGCCTAAGCTCGATGATAGCGCAGACAATCGGAACACTTAATCGCGGAGGTGACCAGCCGTCCGCCGCCGGGTCGGAGGTGACGGGGCGGGGCGAGGGGAGGGGGCGTCACAAGGCCGGGGCACGCGCCTCGCCTTCAACGGCTGCGCCTCAGCCACACAGCTGGTGGCAGAGGTCGCGAGCGCACGCTGTGCCGCCCAGCGTCCGTGACGATCCAAACGTGCCGACAACGTGCCAACATCTTCGATATAGACTTCAAGCCGCCCGCCCAGAAGTCGATCGGTGAGTCGTTGCGTCGTGCATTTGCCGTGCCTGTTTATCCATGTCTGTTTTATTCACGTCTGTTTTGTCATGTCTATTTTACATTTGAGAGGGATGAAAGAAACTAAAAATCCATCACTTTGCGGCTTGAATTCTACGTTGTGAATTGGTACTGTCCTCTATGACGTGCATCTGGTAAGCTATAGGACTATTCAAGATGTGCCGCCTTGAAGTGTTCGCCGCCATTAGACTGCATCTCGTTGGATTCATTTAGACTTGTTAGCGCGTTCGTTGACGGTCGGCTCTTACCGTGTCCCAGAACCGCAGCCTTGATCCATGATCGTGTCCGCTGATAGTGCCGTCCAGTCGTCCTGTTTCCCGTTTGTGTCCCTGGATCCCGGCAGGCTGCATCCCCGGGCTGTATCCCCTGCGTCCCCAGCTGGTGACCCCAGCCCGTGATCCCAGCCCGTGATCCCAGCCCGTGATCCCAGCCCGTGATCCCTGCCCGTGACCCCAGCTGGTGACCCCAGCCCGTGACCCCAGCCCGTGATCTCTGCTCGGGACCCCAGCCCGTGACCCCAGCCCGTGATCCCTGCTCGTGACCCCAGCCCGTGATACCTGCCCGTGACCCCTGCCCATGACCCCAGCCCGTGATCCCTGCCCGTGATCCCTGCCCGTGACCCCAGCCCGTGATACCCGCCCGTGACCCCTGCCCGTGACCCCAGCCCGTGATCCCTGCCCGTGATCCATGCCCGTGAGCCCAGCCTGTGACCCCAGCCTGTGACTCCGGTCGGTGACCCCAGCCGGTGACCCCAGCCCGTGTCGTTCCGCAGAGACGCGGCCGGAGCCGTCACCGGGCCCGTCGGCGGCGGCTGCTGAGGAGCCGGCGGCGGCGCGCCGACGGCCGGAGAAGCGCACCGCCGAGGACGACGAGGAGCGCGCCGTCAAGCGGCCCCGGCCCGACGAGGACGTCGACCCCGACCTCGTCCGACAGATCCTCGAGAGCATGGAGGACCCCAAACGGCTGGCCGGCCAGGAGGTACGTGCCAGCTGGTGTCACCGGTAGCGGCCAGTGGCGGCGGCCGCAGCCAGAGCGGCTGACTGGGGTTCAGCGCGGTTGTTTGAACAATCGACGACTGTTGTTTGCTGATGTTGTGAAGCTTATGTGCCTTGGTTGTTTCTTCAGCTTTTTAAACGGTCACTGAACTTGGCTGTCAAGTGTTACAGCTGAGGCTTGCGGAGCGTTCCCGATCTGTTCAGGTGTGCTGAACGCATCTGTGTGGCAGCACGACTGCATGCTGTTATCCGGGCCGTATTATTTCTGCCCCGTGTTGTGACCACCCTCGGCTGCTCAGTGCGCAGTCACGTGTCTGCGAAACATATCTGGTGCGCGGAGGACCTTCATGCAGAAACACGCGACTGCATAACCAAGCCATAGCCAGCGGCAGTTCGCCGAATGGGCTGGCCTTTTTTCGACGAAACTCGCGAAGCTACGGCGAGTCACGTTTCGGGCTATTGCCTCTTTTACGTCTACCTCTCACTGGGTTTGGGTGACAGCGTGTTGCTTTCGAGATTCGAAAAACGTGACATTGGTCGCTTCACGATCGTTTGCTGGCGTCCCTACGGATCGGACAGCGTTGGGCGGCGCGGGTGGTTTGTAGACAGCACATGAGCCCACATCATGCTGCTGGTTCCATGGCGTCATGTGCGTAATCTGTCGGGATCTGGCATAGATCCTATAAAATGCTCAGATACGCCGGATCCGTGGTTTTTGAATGAGCGCACGTGGGCCGCCCGCACGTAATAAGCCGCGCTTTTGCCAGTGTGGTAGTCCGTTCTTTGCCGAGTCGAAATTTGCTGATTTCGCTTCGTTCAAACGGATCGGATTTGTAGCCCGTGGCGGTTCTGTGTTACATTGCATTTGGTATGTTTTCCGTTCAGAAAATTCGTCTGTGAACGGAAAGAACGGAAACGAACGGAAAATAAGGAAATTTACAGCATTTAAACAATTTTGGTGCGTTATCACTTATAAGAGAATGCGTGCAAATGTAATTATTGAATCTCCCTGTTTATTAAATCTTGCTGCCCCTGTTTCCTCCTGTTTTTCGTTCGTCACAGTGGATTGGTTTGCTATCGAAAACACACGTACACAACGTGACTATTAATCGTGGGGGGGTATCAATCGGGCACCTTTGAACTGAGGTACTTGATAATGTCACAGGCACTGTTCACCGCCATTGGGCACCTGTGTGACC